TACAGTTAATGTGTTATTGCCATTTTCAACTACATATTTGTATGAACTGGGCTTCTTGACGTTGACTGAAATTAAGACATCAAAGAGGGAGCGGCTCAAATCCATAGATGAAGAAATGAGACTTGCGTTGTCAACGATTCCACCACGTATCAGTCGCCTGTGTGCAGCTACGCAGGGGCAAGTATCACATTGAAGTTATGAGTAGAATTACTGTATTTACTTTCATAGTAATAGAAGTGTATTTTCTACACTCTACAGTGAATTGAAGTTCATTAATTGTTAATAAATTCACGAGTCGATTTCTGTTTAATGATAATAAAATAACAATGTAATAATATTATAGTAATAAGTTGATCACGTTACGTATTTATATTAATTGTCTGATATCATGCGTTTTTGAAGGGAATAACATTTTGGTGTTCCGTGTTGAGTCATGGATACTACATGGTGTGCCGCGAGTAGAAAAAGGTTGCGGCACTGTTCTAGAGAACGTCGATTTTAGAAACGTGGCGGATTGTGTAATTACGTTAGGCGTCGGTGTTACACTTCAGCTCTCCATCGCATATCCAAGAAGTCATTTGGTCCAGAGTTTTAATATGAATTTGGACTAGCCAGTCGGTTGAGGAGCCATTAGTTGGAGTGTTTGTTCGCGTCTTTTGAAGAGAGATCGGTAAAAGATTTTTTTTTTGGATGTGCTGACACACGTGGATCCGTAAGTGTTTCTGTCACAGGTAAATATGGAATCTACATTAGTGATTCCTCCAGATTAAGTTCTTTGTGTAGCACAGTTCAACATTCGTATCAGCCAAGTTTAATTTGTCATTATCTGGTATATAAAGAAAACTGGAAACTGTCATTTTGTGCCTTCGGCCATTCTGCGTCGTGCCGTACCGAAGGAAATGTTGAAATGGAGATTTAATTTTCAGGAAAGCGCCATGCATGTCTTGTATAGCTGTTTATTAATTTGTAATATCACGATGCGTGTCTTGTGTTGCAGTTTATTAATTGATAATATTAAATAACTGCTAAATACACTTGAGGCGAAATAAAATACCGAAGATAAAGAAAGAACGCTAGTGTTACAGCCTTTCACTTTTTCCTGACCCACAAACTGGTTACCACTAGAGCCACGATTGACACCACTTGTCATAGCAGCCCCCCAAACTCGAGCCGAAGATTGAAACACTCTTGGGGATTTTCATTTCATCTCCAGTCTTCGAAGGGTGCGAATGCAGCCAAGAACACTGTGATATTGTAACAGAGATCGCTAATAAATTACCCAAGTGACCAGCACATGACCGTCTGCCAGTGGTGTTTAGAGACAGGCAGCTCTGACGTCGCTCTCGGCCGGTGCTGTTTCGAGGTTCCAGAGCTGAGCGCTGATCGGAGGGATCATTAAACCGCTGCCGGACTGTAGCATGAGGAATGAAGAGTCTCTTAAATTGTGCATGCTCAATAGCCGAACTTCATTTCATGCATTTCCCTGTATAGTGACTGACAGATCATTGTAAGTTAAAGTTGTCCATGTGCTTAACCATGCCATGAAGGAATATGAGGGAGTGGATGTATAGAGCCACATTTTCTTCACCTCGGCACTAGCTGGAGGTGAGTGGTCAGCTTCACACCCCGGCTGCTTTACCCCTGGGGAAAGAGCTGCCGGTACCCATTGGATAGGAGGTTGGGTGGACACCAGAGCCGGTCTGGACGACGTGGAGAAGAGAAAATTGTTGACCCTACCGGGACCCGAACTCCGACCCCTCCGTCGTCCAGGCTGTAGCCAGTCGTTATACCGACTACGCTAACCCGGCTCCTCACAGACCATTGTAAAGTTGCTTGTGCCTGTTTTTTATGCGCAACCATTGTCTTTCTTGAATAGTGCCAGGTCATATTGTTACATTTATCCTTATTTTTTAACTGCTATTGTCTCTGTGTCAGCCACGTAAGACCTTGATGGCAGTTTTTTTCTTCCCCCGCCGTTGTTACACTGTACCGTCACTACTCTCCTCTTCTTGCGCTGAACTAATTCGCGATTCACACCACGCTGTGTTTCACGATAGGTTCTCCCCGCATGGTTGGTCCACACCGCTTCTAAGCTCAGAATGAGATCGAGACTATCCGATTTGAGTTAGACAGCCACTGCGTTCTGCATGAAATATTTATAGAATGGTCTAGCGCCTTCTTGAGGTAACGAGGAGTCTATGGAAAAAGACACGTCGGTATGTAACACCNACCCCCTCCCCCTCACGCCCAATTTATGCTACAGTATTTATATTTATATATATTTGACCGGCCTTCGAGCATCTTATTTTGTCTGTCAGGCCTGTTGTTTGCGTGAACGATTTGTCATTGAATACACGTTCTTTCGTTGCGGGCTTACGAAATCCAAGACAGAAATTTTCTTGTTGGTATGGTCGACGAAAATCGTCAGTAATGTTGAGTAGTGTCATCTGAATTGTGACGCTGTGTAGTTAGTAGAGAGCCCTACATTTCGGATAACAGCGCCTCTGTCTTCAGATTCGAAAAGTGGGTACAGCAAGAATCCAGCTAAGGCAGGCGGCAAGATGGAGGCAAAACGCTCTCTCCTTTCTACATGGTGTTAAACCTAGAGGGCTGTATTCTTCATAGTCAGTGCAGCCAAAGTTTCATCTCAAGCATCACAATAATATTTGTTTAGTTCAGTTTATACATGCTGTAAATAACGTATGCCTTATAAAAATGTGTGTATAGTTATATAATACATAGACACACCTCCGTAGAACCACTCATATGCATAAACACAAAAAGGGCACACTACCACGGGACATCGGTTTACTACAACAAAAATACCCATATACCTCGCGTACTTAGGGGCCGCGCCATAGCTCAAGCAGTTAGTCGCTGGCTTGCCTCCGCAGCGGCACGGGTTCGATCCCGGGGTCTGGTCAAGTGGGATTTGTGGTGTACAAAGTGGCGCTGGGGCAGGTTTTCTCCGAGTACTTCGGTTTCCCCTGCCAATCATCATTCCACCAATTTTGCTCCACAATCACCCTCACCTATCATCTGGGGCTGGTACAGTAGGCCAGACGTGGCCGCAGTACAAGGGACTTAGTCCCACCCCAGTAGCATTAAAAAAACCTCGTATACTTGCAGACGGTCCACCACACAGGACGTTTACATACCAACGGTGAAGAAATAACGAAGCCACCAAACGGATACTGTTTACTCCTTAACGCAACTTGTTTTTAAACATGTCAATGTTTTGAACCCTTTAAGAGAACATATTCATGTCGTAATTGTGCAGTTTCTCCTTTGCAGTGTTGATCACCTTCTGATGATGGCCGGTACCGACAGAAACACGTAAAGGTTTTATTCATATTAAAATTTGTTGCATTTGATGGAATTTATTCTTTATTCATATGTGTAGATGTGGATGAAGGTGATTCAAAAAGTTTCCACGATTTTCTTTCCCCCCACAATTGCATTTGAGATGGAAGGCTGCAGGTGTAGCACTCCTCAACGTAGTATCCCTGCATCTCAGCACATTTTCTATAAGCTCACAGGCTTTGTGATGCTATCAGAGAAAGAAACTGGACTGAAAGTTCCGAGCCAGTCATGCACCGTTTCCTTCATCTCGTCTTCAGCTGAAAGTGGACGACCTCTGAGAGCCCCATTTGGAAGTTCAAACAAATGGAAATCCGAAGGTGTACAGTACAGACTGTGTGCTGGATGGTCATGAACTTTAAGCTCATGATGGGTTTCCCTAGTTTGGGCAGCAGTGTGAAGTCAATTGCATATTGCCTTGCAAGACGAGAACACCCTTGGACAATCTTCTCGTGATTTTGTACGAAACACCGTCATGGTACTGCATTGTCCAATATTAAATACAGAAACGTATGTAAATTTCAACACCTTCCGCCCACAGAAAATTAGTTTCGGCCCTCTCCTCTTCTTTGGCGCAAATTGAAAGTGGTGCAGCTTACTAATTGCATCGAACGCGTTATCAGGCAGAATGTGGGCACGTCGGCTCACAGGGTTCAGTTCTGCCAACTGTCAGGTTATTTTGTGACATCTGCATACAAGAGCTAAAGTGCGGATACTTTATGAATCACCCATATAAATATATTAACTTGACATTTATGCGCAGTGCACAGTTACTCGTTTGCCAGTTTTGTGCTAATAAGAATGTTTTCGTCCAGGTGGTACGGCCAAGAGCGAGAGTACAATGTCCTGGTCATGGATTTGCTGGGCCCATCGCTTGAAGATTTATTCAACTTCTGTTCCCGTCGATTTACTATTAAGACAGTCCTTATGTTAGCTGATCAGATGATTGGTCGTATAGAGTATGTGCACTGCAAAAGTTTCATCCACCGAGATATTAAGCCTGACAACTTCTTGATGGGCATTGGAAGGCACTGCAATAAGGTAGGTGATGAAAACGTTGTGCATAGTTTGATGGGAGATATGGGTTTTGCATTCCTGTAATTCAGGCATGGTGCATGTTTGGAATTTCGACAACCCGCCATGGTGAATATATTTTAAGCTTGGTTATGTGACATGTTTAAGTGTTGCTGCTTTTGATGTAAAAGTAAGTACCTTGTTGGACTGAAGTTTATTACAAAATTGACGGCCTTCAGTGATGGTGGTGGTTTTTATTGTAGAGCAGTAGTAATAGTAGTAATAAGTTCTGTACAGATCACATATAAATCTGGGGGCCATCTCAGAAAATTAGGAAAAACAATCCCTTGGTTGAGAAATTTGTTCTTTGTTATTAGCAGGAGGATGTCTGGAAAATTAATGCATCATGGCTGGGTTATGAGAAAAATATTCATTAGATGATTAAATAAAGTGGTTGGGAAGGGAATGTGGGAGAAAGGAGTGAAGGAGATAAGAGGGTAGAGGAATTGGAGAACAGGAGTGAGGGAATTATTTTAAGGGAAAGGAGGAATGAAGGAGGAGAGGAATGTATGGAAGATGGACAAATGAAAAAAGTGGTAAAGCGACAAGGGAGAAAGAAGGAAGGGGGCAAAGATAGGAAAGGGATGAAAGAAAGAAAAATGAATTATTATGACAGATCATTCTCTGGTAGTGTAACAGGAGGGAAATCTGCTAAAACCAGTATGAAAAATGTATGCACCGTAGAGACCTGGTGCCCAGGAATTTTGCAAGCATGACTGTGGTGTATAATAAATAACACTGAGAAATATTAATTTATTAAAACGCTTGACTACTCTTATAAAACCAATTACAGGCAAACCCTATAAAAATAAAGTACGATGAAACAAGACGTAAACAGGCACTAACGTAGGGGGAAATTACAACTAACAAGATACCAGAAACTGAGTGACGTAAATAATACCAAGGATAAGAAGAGATGATCATTACATCTGTTATTTGTATGCCTGAAAGTATCAGTATATATGTGCAGATCAAATTAGCCACCTTTTTTATTGGTATGGGATGAGGTTGTGCTCACTTGATATGCAGGTCACTGTTGGACCTATTGTACGTACCAGCCTCAGAAGATGATTTTGGAGCAGTCAGTAGGTTGAGAATTGTTATAAGACAGCGTTCTCTATCAAGAATAGGGCCAGAGCTGTTAACCATTTAATGAATAAGAGTGCAGGAGAAGTTAAGTCAAACTTCAAAGTTCAGTAACTTTGAAATTAATTGTCGTAGGAAGGAAGAACATATGTATCACAAACTCTGCAGACCTTTTTTTTCCCTTGGCGCTACAGCCCCAGTTTGGGCCTTGGACTACCTCATTGAAACTTACGTTTCACTTCGGTTTACTAGAACTTAGACATTTCGGTAGGACCCCTTGGGCTGGGGATCAGCTCGTCGCAAGGCCTCTACCCTGCAGACCCTTTAAGCTTACAAAATTTAATTGAAGTCCAAGGTGGTAATGTCAGTTGATGGGTTAACCATGGAGTGACCCATATTTGTTTAATACATTTTCGCGTGGCCCGAGAAGGAGCGTGTGCATGCGCATCTCTGAATACTTCTCGACTTCACCACACCACGTCGACTTCTAGATTTTTCTAACGACTCAGTGTGCTCTGCTGGTCAGAGGTTTCCAGAATTACTACGCCTGGATAAAGTGCTGTGGAATTCGCGAGTTGAGCCCGCTGCTCCAGAGTAGGCCGTAGTGACACCAGCGTCTTGAGTGGGTACTCATAGGTGTTAATTGTTCTAAAAACGATAAACATTGCGATATGCGTGGAATTCTTATTGTGGTGGAGCACTTCATTAAAATAGTAAAGCCAATTTTATTTCAGTAAGATTTTAATTTGTTTTTCACATGGGAGGATACGGCATCTATTTTTGAGAGTGTCTTCGGCAGTAATCCGATTATGTTCGGAAGACGAACGCTTGTTGAATATACAAGTTACATCGAAATCAAACCCTAGCCCTCCAGATTACTAGTTAAGTTAAAAAAGCCAAAATGCTATAAATGTGGGGAAATCGCGCGAGATGTAGAAACTTGATCCTAGGAACCTTAAAATTGGAAACCCTCAGGGAAGGTAAACCATTCAAAGATCCCTGTAACGGCCCGTGAAGGCCAATAAGATTGCGAGACGTCAAGGCTCCCACATTTTATCTAGACAGTGTGCTCACAGTTGGCCGTGAGGTCCACAGCCTTACGCTCCGGCCGCCGTTTGCCCCCCAGGAAGATTACTGGTACTCATTTCTGTTAGAGGCTGAGTCGACCTCAGGGCCATAGTGCAGCTGGAAGGATTAGGTAAATTTAAAACATTCAACTCGTCGGGACTCGACCCCGCGACCTTGCGGCTGGTAGCATAGTGCCTCACCCATTACGTTACCGCGTGCACCCTCCCTCGGAGAAGAGACGTTACAAAATTCAAGCTCCTTGTTTAATTAACTCGAAATCCTTAAGACCGAGAAGGTCTACTGGACATAAAATGTGGTTTAGTTTAATATTAATTTGTTCGAAATATTTTTCACCTCGATAAATGCTGTGTTTAATGAAATACAAACCGGGCACAAACGCACGGAGATCATGTTTCCGTTTGTCCAGTTTTTAACAACTGGAATGTGTCAACAGATTTAATTAATAGTGCTCACCAGTATAAAATTTCATGTAGACCCCTTTAGCAGCTCTCGAATTTTCATACATACACACAGACGTCCATCCGGACGGGACGAATATAATAAACGCTCCGCAGGCAAGCGAACGCCGCTGCAATAATACCACTCAGGGATAACGGAAAGGAACAAGAAATTCTGGGAAGAACTAGTCGCCTATTTTCCTATGAAACGACACAGACCTCATAGAAAACGGACTCATGTGCGAGCCGATGCATGGCAACGATAGAGGGGGATACCCATACTGACGTGCATACTTGCCTTTGACAAGACACGAACCTCAGAAAACGACGCGTCGAACAATTCTTCGATTGTTGCGTATTTATTCGATGCTATGGCAACACGTTTACCGAGCCGTAGCGTACCAGAACGTGTTTCGAAATAGGGAAAGTAGGCCGGGGGGGGGTCTGTATGGGAAAACGGAAAGGTTAGATCCTGTTCGTTTATGGAAGCCGAAGGTGTATTGCCGAGTTAATAAGATCCTGCCACGACGTTTTGTGAGCATCCCCTGCGAACCATATTACTGGTGGCGAACCGTTTGGTTTTGCCACCGCGGTTTCCCAGTACAGCTTTATGTAATTTAGTAACGTAACATTGATTTGAAATCAAGAAATAATCAGCCCGTCCTCCTATTGTCGGGAAATTTTATCTTAATGTTTGCGGAGTGTTCCGGATCATACCAGTATATTAACGATGATCACAAACTAATCTGACCACCGTTTGATATAAATGCGGCAGCGAGGTCGTGTTTCTCTTCAAGTATTTGTGTAATATTAATTCCGATGTTTTATTGATCGGCTACATACATATACACGTTACTTTGTGTTGGTCTCACATTAGGCGGGTATTTATCATTGTGTGTGTATCTCACACCGTTTATATCAGCAGTGCGACATGATGTTTTGTGACCTACTTCTTTTCTCAGCCTGATCCCACACGAAGTTCTTCCAACAAGAGTTGTAGTAAAGTTCTTAGTCCTTCGGCACTTTCTCTTCGGGCAGTTAATGCAACTAACCGTGTGGAGGGAGGGAAAACCCCGGCGTGGCGGTTCTGTGCTCGCGCTTACATAAAATGGTGAAGTTATAATTGGAAATTTTGAAATTTCACTTTGAGAAATGGATTATTTTATGGACTTTGTGTCGGTATGAATTCTGGCACCAATCTCAGTACAAAAGTATTAGTTACAAATAGGAATTGGAATATCAATATTTTCTCGTATTGGCTTCTGCCATTGAGTGAGGCACTATGCGACAAACCGGAAGGTTGTGGGTTCGATTCCCGATAAGGTAATTTGATTTCTTAATTGACCTAACCCTTCCAGCCGCACTACGACCCTGGGGTCGGCTCAGGCTCTGGCAGAAATGAGTAAGTACTAGGAGTCTTCCTGGTGGTATAGGGCGGCCAGCGTGGCTGACAACCTGACCGCCCTCTCTGATTCGAGTTTATAGAAAGTACGGGAGCCTGTATATCTCACGACCCTGTGGGCCTCCACGGCTTGTTACAGGAATAGCTTTACCTTTTTTTTGGCATGTATTAATTGTAGCATGATTTTAAATGTATAGCGACGTAACTTGTTTCCGTTTTCATAGTATGGACCATGAGGCACTATGAGTGAGGCACTATGCGACAAACCGGAAGGTTGTGGGTTCGATTCCCGATAAGGTAATTTGATTTCTTAATTGACCTAACCCTTCCAGCCGCACTACACCCCTGGGGTCGGCTCAGGCTCTAGCAGAAATGAGTACTAGGAGTCTTCCTGGTGGTATAGGGCGGCCAGCGTGGCTGACAACCTGACCGCCCTCTCTGATTCGAGTTTATAGAAAGTACGGGAGCCTGTATATCTCACGACCCTGTGGGCCTCCACGGCTTGTTACAGGAATAGCTTTACCTTTTTTTTGGCATGTATTAATTGTAGCATGATTTTAAATGTATAGCGACGTAACTTGTTTCCGTTTTCATAGTATGGACCATGAGGCACTATGAGTGAGGCACTATGCGACAAACCGGAAGGTTGTGGGTTCGATTCCCGATAAGGTAATTTGATTTCTTAATTGACCTAACCCTTCCAGCCGCACTACGACCCTGGGGTCGGCTCAGGCTCTAGCAGAAATGAGTACTAGGAGTCTTCCTGGTGGTATAGGGCGGCCAGCGTGGCTGACAACCTGACCGCCCTCTCTGATTCGAGTTTATAGAAAGTACGGGAGCCTGTATATCTCACGACCCTGTGGGCCTCCACGGCTTGTTACAGGAATAGCTTTACCTTTTTTTTGGCATGTATTAATTGTAGCATGATTTTAAATGTATAGCGACGTAACTTGTTTCCGTTTTCATATTATTGACCATGAGGCACTATGAGTGAGGCACTATGCGACAAACCGGAAGGTTGTGGGTTCGATTCCCGATAAGGTAATTTGATTTCTTAATTGACCTAACCCTTCCAGCCGCACTACGACCCTGGGGTCGGCTCAGGCTCTAGCAGAAATGAGTACTAGGAGTCTTCCTGGTGGTATAGGGCGGCCAGCGTGGCTGACAACCTGACCGCCCTCTCTGATTCGATTTTATAGAAAATATGGGAGCCTCTATATCTCACGACCCTATGGGCCTCCACGGCTTGTTACAGGAATAGCTTTACCTTTTTTTTTGGCATGTATTAATTGTAGCATGATTTTAAATGTATAGCGACGTAACTTGTTTTCTGTTTTCATAGTATGGACCATAACAATGCATAGTTTCAAATGCAAGTTACACAGTAGTTACTGGTATTTGTCATTTATGTTATTGCCGTGTTTGTACAGTAGAATCGTCATTCACATATTTGATTTGCACGAATTCAACCTTACCCGTCCTCAAACAAATATATAAGTAAATATTAATTAGAAAAATAACTGAAATAGCGCTGGCGCTTCGTCTACAACCCGCTTTTCATCACCCAAACTTGAGCCTGTGTCTCTACTGCATCGACATCAGGCCCTTACAACCCCCAGGTTTACTGTTTTCCCTTTTTATTCTTTCATTCTTCCTACTTTCTCTCTCTTTATGTACATAATTAAAATTAAATTACCTCACATCTACTTGTATGTGTATACTTTATTATATTTATCATTATGTACACATAGCCTCTAACACAGAGAGTACAGGAATATTCCTGGGAGTAAAGGACGGCTGGCACGTAAGGCTGACAGCCTCACTGCCAGCTGTGAGCCGATTGCCTAGAAAATGTGGGTGCATCTATGCCTCACAACCCAATGAGCCTCTGTGGCTTGTTACAGGGATATCTCTTCCATTTGCGTTTACATATTGCAGGGTGAATACTTGGGCGATTTATTTAATTTAATTCTGACTATACATGATTTTAGCTTTACTCCCTGTCCTTAGAACATAACCTCAGCCGAAGATATAATTCCAGTGTACTCCTAACTGCTTTTGAGAAATCATGTGGTTTCTGTTTGTGCTGTATTTAGGGTAGGTGTAATAATTGACTGACATTTTTATTTGTAGTATATTTAATGATGCTATGTAACTCAGACTGGGCGCATGTGGTAGCGTACTTGGTTGAGGCACTATGCTACAAGCCGGAAGGTCGTAGGATCAAATCCCGATGAGGTCATTGGATTTTTTTTCCAATTTACCTAATCCTTCCAGCCGCACTATGGCCCTATGGTCGACTCAGCCTCTAACAGACATGATTACCAGGAATAATCTTGGAATGTTCTTGGGGGTAAAGGGCCGCCGATGTGTAAAGCTGACAACCTTACCGCCATTCATGAGCCAAGTGTCTAGAAAATGTGGGAACCTCAACATCTCACAACCCTATGGGCCTCCACGGCCTGTTATAGGGATACATTTACTTTACTTTTTACTTTATGTAACTCAGACTGTACAGCTTTGAATGATTGGATGATAGTGATGAATTGGAAGGATGTGGAAGGAAGCATCCATGGCCAAGTTTTAGGTAATATTCTGGCATTTTGTTGGATAGGCTTAAGGAAACACAGAAATATTCAACAGAATATAGCGAGTGTGCTTGCCATGATTCAAGCAGGGCATCTCTTGAATACAAGTTGTGTTACCACTTGTGTGAACCTGGTCAGTGGACTGATGTGGGTCAGAATCACTTTTTGTAGAAACTTCCACCATTACAGTTTCTTCAACATTAATTTTGTAGTTTGAAGATGGAAATGTATGATCTCATAATAAGTTAATTTTTTGCATCTTGTGCAAATAAGTCCTTGAAGTCCCCCCCTCTCATCTTCAATACCCCAGTGGTCTTAAGCTTAGCTGTTATGGGAAGGAGGGGGAATGGTTGTGAAGAGATGGTGTTCATTCATAATACTCCAGGACCCGAAGGTAGGAAAACAAGGCACAGGGAATTATTTTTGGTGTAATGGTTCATTGGAATAGATGATGCATTGACTGCAGAACCAAAGTGTAGCCTGACTGACTGACTGACTGCTAAGTTGCTGCTGGTCCTTGCCAGTGCAGTGATTCTTGGTTTCGAGTCCCATGTGTCTCATGACCATATTTTACTCTTAGATTGCTTTGGGAGCCTTGAGACTCCAGCCTTTCAAGTGTAGTATGGGCGTGTGGACAATCCATGATACATAAGTTTGGTTCATAGCTGTGCCATCTGGAAAGCTCATTGTATGAATTCAAATTGTCATAGCATTTTCGTTGAGGAAGGCTGTTGTAATGAACCATTAGAGTAAACAGGTCATTGTGAACTCATGTAATTCACCTTTCAATGTTAATTATTCTTGCACATGTATCTCAACACCAGGATAAAGTAACAGTTCTGTAAAGTAATATATTTTCCAAGTGCAATACACTTGTTAATTTCTGAGATTGACTTTTGTGTACCAGTTTGTCAGGTGATTGCCTCCAGTTCTGAAGTATGAGGATAGATGAATCCCAGTGATAATTGTTACTGTTTTTTTTCTTGGCACTACAGCCCCAGTGGGCCTAGGCCTACCTCCATGAACTTCTCCGTTCACTTCGGTTTTTCTAGATCTTATACATACGGTAGGACTCCTTCGGCGAGTGATCAGCTCGTCGCTAGGCCTCTACCTGTAGACAAACACAGAAAAACGCACACAAACATCGATGCCCTGAGTGGGATTCGAACCCACGATCTCGGCTTCCGAGCGAGAGAAGACAGTGCATGCCTTAGACCGCTCAGCTACCACGACCGGCTAATTGTTACTATACTTTCTGTAATTTTACATCAGAAATTTTAATGCACTTTTATGTGTTCAGTAGTTCAGGTTTACAGTCAGTTTCACAGTTTATGATGTATACTGACAAATATTTATGTTTTATTTGTAAGGTGTTACATTACTTTTATTCTTCTTCAGAAGTAACTTCTGCATTGAACGGAATTTATTGCTGTGATATTTCAGTATTTTCACAGTTTGTTTTTGTTGTAATCATTCTTTTTTTGATCCTGTTCTAGCTCTTTCTAATTGACTTTGGTTTGGCAAAGAAGTTTCGTGATTCACGTACAAGACATCACATTTTATACCGTGAAGATAAGAATCTAACAGGGACTGCGCGGTATGCCTCCATCAATGCACACCTTGGCATCGAACAGAGGTAAGAAATGAACTGCAGTGTCATCTCATCCATTTAAAATAAGTCAGTTTGTTGGAAAAGGGGACATGCCCAATGGTTGAAAGGTGAAGACATTCCTGTTTGAAACTAGAGGTGTGAAGTTGTTCCTGAGCCTAATTAAGTACCATGCCATGTGGTTTAGTGGAGGTACAGATCCACAAATTAAAGATAAAAGTGTCTGCTCCTGCTAGGATCTGCATCCTTATTTCGTAGTTATCCAGCCCCTGGCATAGTCTTGATGCTGACTGAGGTCTCCAGCACATCCCTTTTGCATCAAATTGATTCTGTTATATATAGGCCACACTGTTATTGTCTATGCTGTTAGCATGTCTTGCATGTAGCATTTCCATTGGTTCTGGACTGCCAGTCACTGTTTTGTTTTTATTTTGAAAACAACAAAATTCTGAAGAAGATGCTTGGTTGTAGGATGAACTGACTTGGGAGAGAGAAAACTTCAAGTTCAATATCTAATTTCAGATCTTTAAAGAATTCCCACGTGTTTCTTATCATGAAACTTGAATGTTGTATGCATGATAAAAAAAAGGGAGCAACTTCTGATCCAGAAACGCTGTTTCACATTTAGTGATCTGTTATGAGCTACATGTCAAGCTCATTGCTTCAAACTTGGATTGTATGCTGTTGATGGATTGAGTGACATTTCTGTTGACATCTGGCATGTGGGTCACACATTTTTAATTCGAAGATATTCTCTTATATCAGTCTTTTGTTGATGTTTGAGAATATTATTTTGATAAACAGCATACAGTACAGGACTACTGACTGAACTGGAAACTTCTTCCTGATAAGATTCTGCATTTGTGTAAGCGAGATGAAGAAATTAAAATACCCAAACCATGTCTTGCATTAAATTTATTCCTATCGTAGGGCATATATTTAATTATGCCTCTGCATCTCAAACGGCATCACAGCTGTGTTACGTAGGTACATGGTCCAAGTTCTGGTGTATCTGAAAGAGGATTTTTGAATTCAGGGCCCTTCTGGAAAATTGAAGTGGTTTGAAGTAAATATTGTGTAAATTGATGTATAAAACAGTAGAAGAATATGAAAGTGATTACCATATTCATATCTTGTAGTGAAATTACTCGTATTCTTTTGACACAGATTTTAAAATGTATTTGCCAAGCAAGATGGTAAGGGTAATCTGACTTGTATATGGTAGATATCTGGTTCTAATCTCAGCCAGGGCATGGACTGTCATGACTGAAATTTTATGTGGTTTTACCCATTCCCTCCAGGCAAATTCCGGTGTGGTACCTCTAATAAGGTTACTGTTGCTTCTCACCACATCTGTTTGAATTCATTATTTATTCGACATTTGATACTACTTAGTCTGAGATTCTGACAGTCACTAAGTAAACTGTAAATTAATACATTAAATATACCAATAGCATTTGATCGACTATGTTAGCTCATGTGGTGTGTTATTAAAGGGTTTTGGTCTTTATGCTGGTAGCTTTTCCCTGATGGCAGGTTCATCGTTTCCCATGAGTAATAGTTTTGTAGGAGTGAGATGTATGAAGAAACTTCAGACATAACATTAAATTTAATTGACTGTCACTTTTCTTTTATGGAATGAAAGTTCATAACAAGATGAAGATGACCTTGCATGTTTGAATCAATTTTTTTTGCGGCCATCAGGACATGAACTGAAATGCTTGGCAAGCATTTTATGACATCTTCACTATCTCTATACATCTGACTGCAATGCAGTGAAAATCACATCTACAGTCTTACTAGCTTATGAAGTATCAGAAGATGAGTGTAAAAGAATGAAACTGGGTAATAGGCAGAGAGAGAGGAATTTGGGTAGGAACATTCATTCATTCATTCATTCATCAGTAATCTGTCAAGATGACAGGTCCACAGTCTCTTCCAAAACAGTTCCTCCACTTGATGTGATCGAGAGCTTTCTCCTTCAAATGAAAATATCCTCTTCTGTCCTCAAGGTCATCCAGCATCTTCTTACGTCTTCTTTCTTGTCTTCTGGTCACTTCTATCTGCCCCTCTATCTTTCCTTCAATAACTTCTTTTAGAAGGCAGTTACTGCTTAAGATATGACCAATCCAATTAGCCTTCCGTTTTCTTATTTCGTGTAGGATATTCCTCTGCTCACTGACTCTAAATAACACTTCTTCATTTCTCACATAATCGGTCCAACTGATCTTCTCCATCCTTCTCCAACACCACATTTTGAAGCTTTCCAGGTGGTCCTGATCTACTGCCCTAAGTGTCTTAAGTTTCAGTCCATACA